TTCGGATATCTGAACATCTTTAACATGATTTACATTTTTTACAACCATGATTGTCGGTTGGGATCGTCAGCAGACAATTCTAATAGAAGGTAACTGTTCAATTGATTTGATTTTTTTTCATTAGATTCCACTTGTGCCATTTTCTGTTTATAATTTCACAACACTATTAATGCTCATTGCACAGTTTGTAGTCAAGTGAGAGTGTCACAGCCTCTCTGCTTTTGTTGTAATTAAACACTGCTTGAGAGACAGTGTGACTCAATAGCAGTGGACGTTTCCACCCGCTGATACAGAGGGGACCAGGACCCTTCATTAAAAATGAGAACAAAGCTCATGATGACGACGACAACACTGACCGAGTATCACCATATTTAAACCGCCGTCAGGTTAAGTGTTGAAGTGGTTAAAGAGATCACGTGCGAGGCTCAACTTCTGCCTGTCAATCAAGTATGTGTAGACGTTTTGTTACACGAGTAGCTGGACTCTGTCGTTTACCTCCCGTTTTAACACAAATTCAACCCACAAATCATTTCACACGGCGCCGTTTTCGGTCGGAGCGTTAACGAGCTCAGCCACGCTTCCTTCTGATTTGCATGAAGTGACTCGGAGTAAAATCTGATCCCAGAATGTTTTGACAGTCAGGAAAAGTGCGAAAGAAAGTGTTTTCTGCTGCTGAATGTGGAATATTGGTTGAAGAGGAGACACTTTCGGAACTGCAAGTGTGCAAACATCCTGCAAGAAGAGGAAGGGCTGTACGTGAGGAGATGTCAGCCGCAAGGACTGGAGGTGCTGTGTTGCTCATTAAAAAACGGGAAGAATTTGAGAAAATTAGACGGGAAAAATAACGCGTTTCTCTCGCTCTCTCCACGTCTCCCCCCGTTTGTGTCATATAATACAGTGTAGCACACTACACACCTGCCTTTCTTTGAGATTTCATCTCAGATTTCCTGTGAAGCAGTGGTCAGTGGTCAGTTATACATCAGCTGCAGCGGGCAATTCTGCACTTTTCCATTCTCTCCTATCATAAGAGACCATCAGGGAATTTTAGATGGAGGGGGGGGGGGGGCAAAAACAGTATGGGACGTTTAAAAGCTGTTGTCACTGACTTGGTGATGGAGGAATTGGCCGTTTGCTAGTTAGTGACAGTGTGGGGTCCACGTCAGCTCCGACAGCTTGACAGAGTGGGGGCGGGGCTTAGGGAAAGGTCCATTGAAACTAAATGTGGGGTGACTTTTTTGGAAGGAACCGATTGATTTACAGGTCTGATCTGGTCTATGGCTGGTGGAGGTCGGTTTCAGATCAGGTTTGGGCGAGGATCTCTCAGGCTACAATCAGTTCAGAGTCTAAAATACCAAAAAACATAGTGTACAACATCACCACTCTTTGACGGCATTTCATTTGAAGTCAACAAAGCAAATCTAAAAACCTCAGTGTTTCGTGTGAATCCATCCATCCAACAAGCCGCCCGATATAAAGCCAGTGTAAACGAGACAGCACCAAGAGGTGGAGGGAGGGTGAGAGGATGGGGGGAAGGAAAAGGAGTGATGCTTACATGTTTTTCTCCTTCGATCCTCTTGTCGGCCTGTTGAACAGCCTCCAGGTACTTAAAATGCATCTCCATCAGTCGATCAACCTGGAGAGAGAGAGAGAGAGAGAGAGAGAGAGAGAGAGAGAGAGAGAGAGAATGAAACAGAGGCAGACGGAGAGAGAGAGAGAGAATGATGCGGAGGAAGGCAGAGAGAGAGAGAGTGAGAGAAAGCAACGAGACAACAAGAAACATATTCACATTAATCATTCACGGTTTAAGAGGGGAGGGTTTATCAAGGGGAAAACAAAGACAAGGCACGGATACAATTTTTAAGAATCTAATTCGTTGTATTACCATATAGCCAGAGACATCAAGCATCCCCGAATAAGAACAAATAACCGAGGGTGTGGATGACGGAAATGAAGACGGCTTAGCGGTGAAGAAGACGTCCGCGTTTGATTTGCGTGACAGGCCGTTTTCTACATCAAAGGTCAGGCGTCCTATTAAAATGGCCTCGAGGAGCGCACCGAATACGAAGCATTTCTTTTGCACATGTGAGAGGGAATTGTGGGAGAAATGGCAGCTGTGGTGTCCGACATGATATTTCAATCGCTTCGTCAAGTTCTGTAACGTGTGGCAGATCTCAGTATACACAGGTTCAGAGCGGTGCAGTCACTGACTAAGGGACCTGAATGTATTTAACCTGCTGTACAAATGTCAGCCTCTTTCCTCTGATAACAATAGAATGATACACACTCAGATAGTTATTTTATGATAAACATATTTTCTATCTGGGGATTTGTTTACTTGTATATGTGATGACGTGTATATCATACGTCTTTAGAAGCCTGCTTATACAAAGTAAGTGGTTTTGATAAACACGTACAAGAAGACAGCGAGGTCTGCCCATAGGGAAACTAGTGTGAGTAAACACTGAAGGTAACGGCATAGTTTGCAACATATTGATTTCCTTTAACATCCATTTGATCATAAAAGTTGAGGCATGGACTTTTGGGTCTTAAAAACATACAGGAAAAAGACAAGCTGCCTGATTGACGTCCAATTTTAAGTTACCAATAGATAACGAAGAGTCTAAAAGTATTAATTAAAGATAAAAGGGTATTCATTAAAACATTATGTAAAAGACACAAAATATTGTTTTCACAAACAAGCATTGTCCATTAATATGCTGATTATTTTCCCAAATCAGTGATTTATCTTTATGTCTCTGTGACATGGGAAGGTAGAGAGAAAGGGTCATCAGAGATCCTCCCAGAGCCCAAAGTCATGTCCTTAAATTGCTATTTTTGTCAGCATACGAGTCCAAAACCCAAAGGACATTTCATTTACTAGCATGTGTGAAAGGAAGTGGCGGTGAAAGGAAGCGGCGGTGAAAGCAAGCGGCAAATCTTCACGTTTGAGAAGCTGGAATCGTTGCAACGATGAATAAACCAAAAATATGATCAAATAACCCTGTGTTTGGGTGTGAACTGATCAGATTTGATAAGACAGCGCCGTGGCATCATAAGAAAACAAAGCCACAACTGTCAACAACGTTTTTCCTCATCCAAAGCGAGGGTCTAAAGACAGACAGTTAAATATTAATCTTATAAACTTGTGTTTCACTTTAAACCCTAAATTTGCACACAGCCCTCATTTTTGGCCCAAATTCTCAAAGTACCTTTCCCCATTACCTTGCTGTATGTATTTGACAAACGAATGAATTTGTTTGGCAGAGAATAATGGATTATGTCTGCTTATAATATGCTGAAAGGTTAGTGACTATCTGCATATGACCTGGTATTCATATATTATCCCTATATTCCCATTCTATTCCCATTTTTTCCCCCATTCATTTCCATGGAAAGGTTCCACCTTGGATATTCACATTTATTCCGCGACACATTCAAACCAGCTAAAAAGATCACGAAAAGTAATTCTCTTATGTGAAATACCAAAACGTGTTAGGACCTGTTGTGATTCCAGTAACTTTAGAGAGACCCTGTGACCAAAACATAATGTATGACACACAAACACCTCAGCTTAGGCATTCCTGATGAAACGATCTGCTGGCAATCAAAACACAGTAGATAGAAAAGTGAAGGAGAAAGAAGGAGAAAAGAGCAGAACGGTCAGAAGACGGTGAAAGCTCACCTTCTCACAGTCGTTCTCTGTGAACTTGTTGAGGAGTCGGCTTCTCTGTTGGGACTTGAGATTTCTCAGCATGGAGGCGATGATGGAGCAGACGTGTTCTACGGAGAGTAAAGCGAGACTTAAAGACAAAACTTCATAGTGTACATCTCAAACACGTTTATACGTTTTTATGAAATGTTTATTCGAATTAGCAGCCCTCTGACTTTTTGTTTTAGCCATCAGGAGTGGGCCTTCATAAGCAGCGGTTGAGAACCCCGGTCCTACGCGTTAACTCGCCGTGAAAGAGCTCACTGTGTTCTTTTTGGTAAACCCGACAGGGTGCGTGTGCTTTAACTAACACACGGGCTGCTGTTACGCTCATCGGTTAAATAACAGCAAACACAAGAAGACCTGATCGTTCACAGCCACAGCACCCACAAAGATAGAAATAAAGACGGAGAGAAATCGATTAGCACACGATTTGCAGTTACAGCATGGATACAGAGAGACCTCAGAGTGAATGTTAATGAAATTTAGAAATCAATTTTCATTTTTTTATTTTTTTTAGGGCATGCTAGAACATGCGTAACAGTTCTGGCTGTGGCTGAATTACATTTCTCCCATTAGAAATGTGTCTTTGGCCGCTCTGGGGCCATTTAGCGAGGGGGGGGAGGTCTAAAAATATGCTAATTGACTAAATCGGCGACGAAAGCTAGTTAGTCCCATTGAGTGCCATTGTTAACCCAATTCATGCGATGCAAGATGTGTAATCTCATTCAAAGGCCTTCTTGCTCACAGGCTGCACCAGCAGAAGACAATCCTAGTGTGATATTTATCTATTATAGTGAATGAACAATACACTCTGCACACAGAATATGACACTGTAAAAACCTCTGGATACAGAGTGGGGAGTAAATGTAATTGGAATTTATCAACAAGAGGTCAATATCCTCTCTCATCGAGGCTTTGCAGTTGCTAAGCAACAAGAGCAGAAGAATCAATCCCATTTCTGCTTCTTTTAAAAGGGGTCGCGTTCGCTGTCGGCTCCCTTTGTGCATTTCCTTACGACCCGCAGCGCCCTTTCTCACAAGACTTGAAGGCTGAGGAAACTCAACGCCTGCCACCGCCAAATCTTACAGAATGAACACATCGCCATCAACATCGTGAAGGTGATTGGCAGCACAAAAAGGCAGGGAAATACACGGAAAGACAATATAAAACACACTGGAGACGAAAGAAGGCCCATTGGAACATATATCCTACCAAAAGCTGACATAAATGGAATTACTGCTCTTGAAACTCTTCTGTTCTACTTCAACCAAAACCCCTCCGCATGACCCTCAAATATTTAGCCAGTGAATGTCATGGTCCCCAGAGGACGAGGCCTACTGGAGATCATCTGGCTTTTTTTAAAGCGCTACCAGCAGGATGATATTTTTGGCATATTCATGTTCTGCTTGTAAAAAAAGTTTGGTGATCCCGCAGCTTTTCGTGCAGCTCCATCATCAGGTCAAACTTTTTTTACTCTGGTTCATGACCAAGCACCTGCAGAACGAATGACTTTCCCATCAGCCTCTGCTGCACTTTAGTTTTTAGCAAATGCTAGCATGCCAACATGCTAAAGTAAGATTGCTAAACAAGACAAACATCATACCAGCTGAACATCAGCTCGGCAACATTGTCACCGGGAGCGCAACAGCATGCAGACTTTAGCATTTAGCTCACAGCAGCTGTGCATAAGTCCAGTTTCACAGAGCTGCTAGCATGGCTGTAGTCCCTCAGAACGCCCTTAAACAGTTACAATAATCCAGAGTAAAAGTGGTACCAGATAGTGTACTGTGTACTGTACTTGAAAGTACTTTTAAGGGGTTTCGTTTTTCTTTTACTTTTACAATTAATGCTCAAATTAAGGGATTCAAGGCTGTAACACAAACAACTTGATTTGGATGAAGGTGTTTGGTGTGTTTGCAAGGGGAAATTAAGGCTTAACAAAGGTTTTTTTTTTTGTTTAATAGTGTCCGTCAGAGTCACTATTGTCTGTGAATATTACAAAAACTGTAAACTGTAAATCACAGACTGTCTGACTGGTATTACATGTAGTTATAACGGTGTGTTCTGGTTGTACACCAGGTAGTTTCAGTCCTAGGTCCCCTTATTTTAATGTACACAACCTTATTTCCTGTACACAATGACAAGGAGGCTAACCGCCATTTCCGAAAGGACGCTACTTTATCAACTCGATCCGAGTGGTAATTGATGTCGCCACCTCCGCACCCTGCCGGGGAGGCTATTGATCGCCGGCTGCGGAACGTTCAATCCAAAGAGTTTAAAACTCTCCACTGAGATCCGTCAAGGGGTGGAGGCAGGATTACATCTTGGGTACCACGCGGAGGGCAGGGCTGCGTAAATGAGCCTTTTAGAAAGGTGTCCAATCAATACTTCATTTACATGCTTTGCGTCACACTTAAATGTTGAGTTTAAAAACAGGGAATCATTTACATGTACATGGCGCCAAAGGTTGACGATCGCTCTTCTGAGTGTCGGACGAGAACAGCTGGAAATGTAAGTTCATGAGTTTGATGCACGGAGCAGCTGTGGACACCTGGGCAGAAAAAAGGGTCCATGAAGAAACGTGGAAGGTATAATTCACAGAGAGCATTTTATGGTGAATGCAATAGCTACATGGCTACAATAGATAAATGCATAAACACCCACCCATCACCTAGTCAAAGTTGATTGACAATGTTCCTCCTGAAGCAAATACAAAAACACACTACAGGAATGCTGCTGTTTTTGTTCTGTCTTGTTTTTCTTCTCTACTGCATTTCATTGTGCAGCCCTTTGTTGCATAATGACAATCAATTATCCTTGAATCCTTGAAACCTGGAACTACCTTTTGTTCGAGGGACATTTGCATTCAGAAATGCACTATGCATGTCCAAATGCTGGCGTTCACTCATTCTCCACTAATCATTCGCCGCCTGCGACGTCTTTACCTCCGGGGATCCAGAGCCCTAAGTTAACATGCAAATAACCCTGAGTGGCCTGAATTTCGCGGATTGACTGACAGCTGAAGGAAGTGCTGCGTAGTTCTGAATAACAAGAGGAGAACAGACCGCTGGTGCTTCGCCGAGAGAGCGGACTAACTGTGCCCCGGGGAGAGCAATCAGCCTTCCAGCACCACGGGTGAACCTCTCAGGGGTTTGTAGAGACAGAAGGAACTCTGGCCCTGAACTCTCAGAAAGGAGGGGACACATAGTAGCTGCATATGGTGTACACATTATTGTCATTTTCATCATCATTTAGCATAGGTAAGCAAAGTCAATGCAAATAACAAAATCTTCAGTACAGTACACCAATAGTGTACAATGGGTAGAATAAAAGGTGTCAAAAAGGTTTTATTTATCGGCTTTATATGTACCTACATTTAGACAGTTCAAATGAGCCTAGTTTCTCTTTCTTTATGTTGCTCTTTTGAAGTCATGCTTCGTCTCTATAGGAATACTAGGGACCCTCACTGCTTACTTACACTCAGACATTGTGTTTGATCAATACACTACGTTTAACGCGGTAATCTTCACCCTAATGGCTCCCTGGCTACAAAAAGTTCCTGAATACTTGAAAAGGCTCCTGGAAAAGTTATTGCAGCTCTCCAAATTGAACTGAATTCTCAGAAGGCTGAAAGTAGAATGCTGAACAAATGACTACATATTTAGTAATTCACTTTCCAGCACTGGTAACTAAATGAAGCACCACGTACTGTGCACCAGTCCGGACTGCATTAAACAGTGTGGTCGCTTTTATCCCCTCTCTAACAGATGGAACATTTTTCGCACATTTCTTTTGGTCTATGTACAAAACAAGTTCCACTTTCAAAATGGCCGATACCAAAAGGTTTGAGCTGTTTAGGTCCAACTGAGAATTAGTCATGCCTTTCTGTCGTGAGAAATCATTTCCATGTATTTTTTGCAAACTGATGTTAGCGGTGCACTGTGTGTTTGTTTGGCAAACACAGTGTTTTTTTTTTTGTTTTTTTTTACAAAACTACATTTGAACACCATGATTTTAATTACATATGAAACATATTTAATGAACATAATTATAATTTACCTTCATCTGATACTATTTTCTTCTCAATTGACCATGAGCGCACCATAATGTAACTCAATGGAACCTTGTTGATAGTTGTTAGCTCCAGTATTTAGCCAAGCAGGACTGTGCTGCCCACCGGCTGCTAACGGCTAACGTTAACTAGTTCTCCTCCTGCCGATTTTAAAGAGAATTGATGCTCATAACGCACCCTTTTCAGGGAAAAAACAGGGTTTAACCACAGTTTGCGCATGTGCTGTACAGATCACGCAGGACGTACGGATCGGGTGGGGAGCGACACGTGTTGTTGATGTCCCTGTGTGGCGTTAATGAGCTCATAAATGATACAATAATGTGAAATTGTGTCGGTGCATAGACTCGCGTACTTGCCGATACCCGATCTAGCCTTTTGGGCAGTTCTGGAGGCATTCCTGATACTGGTATAGGAACAAGTCTAATTTTAAAAAAAGGTCTCCATTTTCATAGACGGATACCAGGAACGGTATTCTGTCAAATTAAAGCAAAACTATGAATTATAAATCTCCCTCTTGGTTTTCTAATTGTTCTAAGATTAGATATGTATGCAATACAATTCCAGTTGGACTTAAAACTTTTCCTGCACATTACATTTCCTCTAAATGTCAAACACATCCTGTCCTCAACAGAATATTTAAGTGTAAAAGCTTTCATATGCAACTAAATATACCACGTTATATTTCGTCAAGAGTGTAAATTTGCAGAGATAGAACGCGATCCATCTCCACCAGTAGGAAAGACCAAACGTGAAGATGCTAATTAGATTTTTACACAGGGATCTAAAAGGCAAATCTCTCCCTCTGAAATACACTAATAATAGGATTACGCAGCGTGACTCTGACAACACAGATTACAATCAAACTTGAATCGTGTAAAATGTTTCTGATCTCAATCTGAGCTGAAGGCGCGCGGTGCTGGGAGGGGAGATGATCAAATGAGGGCTCCATTTGAGTCTGCTTTTTGACTGAAATGTCTGACGCAAGTTTGATCAATAAATCCAGATAGACTCACATCTAGTCTCACATATTCTGCTGTGTAGTTCTCTAAATCTCCATTTGTTAATATCAGAGGATGGATACTGGCGATAAAGTAATTGAATCATAAAATTCCATCTTTTATCTTCGTAATGAAACTGCCATCATTTGAGGGGGTGAAAAGGTTTAATAAAGAGCCTCTTCTATTCATCTTTTCCCCCCACTGCATACTTCAGACACCACTACACGGCCACAGAATGTGACGGTATTCCTCTTTCTGCTAGCATGCCTCACTCATTACACCTCTGTGAGTGCTTTCATTAGAGAATGAGGGTCATGGCGAGGGCGTTCGCTCCACTCTAAGTTGTTTGCGTGGCATTCAAAAACATATCAACGACAGAGGCCTCTGTTCTCACTCCTCTTGTGCACACTCTCTCTCTCTCGCTCTCTCTCTTTCCCCCAAACAAATAACCGCATGCCCGAGCACATGAAGAAAAAAGAGCACTCTTTAGAGCCATGACTATTGTGCCTCGCCGTGTAAATTAGCTGTTTACTCCTGCTCCCACTCTCGCGCTCGCTCGCATCATTAGCCGCCTAAATATAACAACCGGCTGCCACCAATTTCCATCACGCGAAACCTCATTTCAAGTGGTAATGTCGGAGCACATGCAACAATAAACTGACACCCTAAAAACAAGGTGAACGGCAGTGTCGTGACAGGAATGTCGAAGGACGGAGAAATGCAATTTCTTGTCGTTGTTTTTCTTCTTATTTTCTGTCCACTTACAATGTCTCTATTAATTATGCCGCTCTGTATGCCAATGTGGCTCCGGCAATCCCCGGTCATTTGCGCCGTGTCAATTTCAGACAGGATTTCACGGGGATCAATCTATGCGACGATGTTTTGTGACGGAGAGAGCTGCGGAGTGAGCGGGAGAGAGAGGCCGCGCTGAGTGTAAGGAGGACGGAGAGGTCTCTGCCTCCTAATTACTTTTGTTTGAAGCCGCCGATGGCTAATTAATCTCCAGTGTCATTGTGTTATTTTGGAGAACCACTCGATTCACGGCATTTTCAATTAGTCGCCTGAGAAAGAGGGGTTCACTCAATACGCCTGATATTATGACGGGCATCTCATCCCGCATATAGCTGTGAGACTAATGAAGGGAAAGCATATACGGGCTGAGTTAATTATGGAAAAAACGCATTTCAAAATGACATTTGCGTGTGCATATGTAATTGCTGAGACTGTAGACTACAGACTGATCTGCTAGATGATGTAGGTGTTGCACCCACTAGCAACACTGAACACAATGTGAAGGTCAGCCATGACAGCACAAACGGTGGCATTGATTTTTTCCATTTAAAGTCAATATTAAAAATTCATATATTATTTACATATATATATATTATTCCTATGGCCCAAAAATATATGTAAACATCAACCATGTAGTCGGTCTACTATTATACTAAATTTCTTACTTTGTGGTTATAGCATCGTTAGTGTTCAATTACCTTTTTATCATATCTTGCTTGTTTTTTTGCTGACGCATCTTGTTTACTTCTAATTTCCCTACTGTGAGACTAGTTCATTTTCATAATCTTCTAGTTCATGATTATGAATCAACAAACTTGCAATCCATGATTACTTGCACTGTCTCAGAAATCTATGAATTTGTGTGTGGAATTCTGCTCTTGGCTTGGAGACATTATGCAGAGAGCGTGGTCTTAGAGGGAACATGAGGATTTCACGAGGATGTATTCAAATGAACGCCGTAGAACAGACACTTTGCTTTAGTTTCTCCCTGAAGTTTAGGTTGTTTGTCGGTGCGGCTGATAACAGCGCAGCCCATTATGCCTGGTTTAGTGATTTGGAGGTGACAAGACGCCAAGCCGTCTGCAGGAACTGGGCTACGAGATGTCTTGGGACATATTTGCTGGTAAAGAATTAGTCTATATTTATGTGGAAATTACAATCAAGTTTACATAGTTGGCTTTGAAGTATCCTCAACTGCCTTTGCAAGCAGAAGGTGTCAACAAACACAGCAGCGGACGCCAGCATCGTACCGATAATCACCTCTCCAAAATAACCACTCATCATACGTCATCATATTGTACCTCTCAAGATATGTTTTAGTTGAGAAACAAGCACAAAGATGGACCACACGTGCCAAACCTCACAGAGACAAAGATCCTTGGGGATGGATTTCCACATCTCTTTTTAAAGCCCATCTTTTAAGTGCGTGTCCGCCTTTGTCAGTGGCTTCAACACACGGGGGGAGAAGCTTTAACGGTTAGGACTGGTTATCTTCCCTACTCTGCTGCTCAAGGGGGGGGGGTCAAAGGTTAATTCATCCGGTCCCTGGGTGAGACGGGACACAATGGAAGACAATTTGTTCTCCGCCGGATGAATCAAACTTAATTAATACAGATGGAGAGAGAGAGCGAGAGAGAGAGATCCACGTTTAGGTAGGTGGGTAATCAAACAAAGAGCAGAGAGATGGACGGGGTTTCTACCTCTTTTTCTTTCACTCTCTTCTCTGTTTCTTTTCTCTCACCCACTATCACGTGGACGTCCTTTTCGTTTCTCTATCACTGGCTCTCGTTTGCTCTTCCCATTTCTTCCCCGGAGACAAGAGGCGTTCCGAGAGCGCAGGCAGGAAAAAAATCAATCAAGATTGGATTGATAGTGTAAACTGACAGGCCGAAGAGGCAGCGAACCGTGATACACGAGCAGATTAGGATGGAGTGTGTCTGCGTGAGACGGGTGTGACTGCACGTTGCAGAGAACCAGGAGGAGGATAAATGAACCAGTGATGATTAGTGCAATCATTTAAATTAGCACAGTCAATGAACAAACTGTTTCTTTACAGGACAAATAACAACAAAATGATGAGATTTGGAGTGTTAGAAAGCCCCAACATCTACACCATCAACACCTCAGGCATTATCATATGCACGCTATAAAGTTTCAATAACATGTCGCATGGAGCCTTTCAATCTGTACATGTTTGGAATAGAAAAAACAAACTGCATGACTAGGAACAGATTTTTCTGTGAGATCAATGTTCCAAATTTGTGGAAATATATTTCACGGACACCTGTCACCTTTACACACGGCTTAGCTTCATGTGCAAGCCAAAGTGTGTAGAGTGTATGGACTAGCTTAAAATGTAGCTAAGCATTAGCAGTGGGAAAATAAAGAAATTCATGACAAAAATTCAGATTCTTATCCTCTGAGATTCTGATTAGATTCACAACTTCTGAAAAATGTTTGCTACAACATAACCTAGGTATTACTACTGAGGGACATTTGTACCTTTAGAACAGAAAACACATTTAATAGAAAAGGTGCAGATCTCCGCACTAGCATGTATCAAAAAAAAAAACATTCTCTGACATACATATTATCTCTGCTTTCATGCCATGAATTGCCACACCTCCTTGATGAGCAGAGTGGAGTAGATCCTGTAGCTAGCGCCCCGATGGGCTGAATCGACAATCAATTTTGAATTGAACCATGACCCCGAGAATCAAAATCGTATCTAGATACCAAAAGATTCACACCCTCTACAAAGCATGAGTGCATTTTACTATTTAATCAAATACTGCCAATTTTGCAGTGCTTGAACTCGTCCGCAATCCAGATTCATCGTAATAAAATCTCAGTTTGTGTGTGGAAGCCATTGATTTCAAGCAACCGGTAACTTCCTACCCTGTTAGTTTTATTTCTATTGGTTTATTTCCTTGATCCGTTTGTTATCACATTTAATTGCTGCTGATGGCATTTCATTAATAAACACTGCAATAATGTCACGCTGCAGCTTTCACTGATTGGCCCGACGGGTCCCACTACGACACCAGGTCAACACAGAGTGACACGTTTGCAGCCGATTGCTGTTTTCATGAAGAAATTGTATCTGCTGTCCAGCTTGTTCTAATTAGCGACTGACCTTCATGCTCCTTCTCTGAAGCAGCGGCTTTCTTCATCTTCTTGGGGGTTTTCATGAAAAGAGGAAAGATGGTCCGCAAGCCCAGGATGTCCACAAACTTATGAGAGTTATCTGCTCCCTCTGGTCCAATCATCCCATGGTCCAGGACCTTCATCGCACTGGTTCGAGACATTTTCTTTTCTCTGCAGCAGAAAGAGGAGACAATGCCGAAGACAGTTACTTATTGTTTCAATACAATAGATATGAAGAACATGCATATTTGCAATAAGGTGTTTTAGCCAAATTTGAAGACATCCCCTCCAGGCGTTCCTAAGATATCGCAATCACGAGAACGGATGGACGTACGGACGGACAGACAACACGCATACATAATGCCTTCTGGCCATGGCTGTCGCTATCGCAGAGCAATAGAAAAACCTTGCCTACTGTACTTGTCTTGTGTCTGTCGGCCCCTGCTGCAGTAAAGAGTTTTTCTAAAGAGACTCTGGTGCTCGCTTTTGTCCAAAGGGATCGCCAAAACCAACAAAATTAAAGTTCCCTGTAGCAGCTTTAAGTAAGAGGTTTCTTTGGCAACTAGCTTTAAGTCAAACCATTCACTCTGTATTTCTGTCACAAATCGGCACTGCCTTGATGACGTTGTTCGCAGCTGTACTATTCATATTTTATAGTGCTTAGGTCCCCAAACACTACTGATACTGCTACACTTGTTGTATTTCCATCTGCACGTTTCTTACAGCAGCTTCGCAGAGTGAAATACTTCTTTTGACTCTTTTTTTCACGAGTGATTACTTAAGATTTAAGTCTTAAATCTTATGGCAATTCAGAAGTTCAGGTGATTATTTGAATGATCAAATCTCACAAGCAGTGTTGATACTGTCAGCCCATCAGAGTCCAGCATACTGCATATGAGAACATATGAGAAATGTCCAGAAATGTTCTCTTACCCACAACTCACAGTTGAACGATGACAAAATCGGAGTATGCCTTCAACCAAACTACTTATGTCCAATTATTATCACAATCAAACCTCAAAACCTAAGCAACTCTAAATGAGATAAAACAAGCATTTGTTTCCATGTTAATCCTGAAAACCTTTAGTAAGATAAACTACCACAGAAGAAAATGTATGTTTTGTCAAAACACATAAATCCTAATTATATACATCGGTTTTCCATCATCAAAGCATTGGCAGGATAACAGGCACCAACTGTTTCATGCTCTGTCTACACCGCCCACCCCCCCACTCCCCCCACTCCACGCCTCCTCTCGGGAAATGTAGCTGTCTGTCACCGTGTCACTTCCTCCATTCCCGCCAATGACAGATGACAGTGTTTATCTCAGAGGAGGGACACATATTTCAGGCAGTTGAGTCTGGTTCTCCAGACAGAGACATTATATATGATGGACGGCTGGAGGGGCCAGTTGGAGTGAGAGGGGGGGGTGATGCACAGTGTACTTTCCGTAAGGAAACTAGGCAATTCAGTTTGGGAGACAGGTGACTTAACTCAGCGTCCTGGTGCCGCAAACTATGCCGTCGTCGATGTCTAGTGGGTGCTGGCACGACAGCAGCAGTGTTTTTTTTGATTAGACTCAAATTCTCCGTGACTGAATCACCTGTGCTGACTGATCAGAAAATGTCAACATACCCCCTTAAAAAGGTTCACAAAAGTTGGAGATACTTTCTAAAATGCTATGCTCACCGTGAGCTGTCAATACGGTTCTTACGGTTCTTAGACATCTGTAAAAATCACAGTTGTATATGTGTCTAGTCTGACAAACATTTAACTCTGCTGAGAATTCATCAAGACACCAGGTGTGCAATCTGTATGGAGCACAAGGCTGAAGAGGCTGGGTCGGAATTGAAATGGAGTTTTTTGATGGAAAACCAATAAATGTGTCTCAGTGAGTGGAGATGATTTTTTTTTTTGTATCATGTTGCTCTCTTGTTTTGTTTTTTTGTTTTCATTTTTCGGGCTGCATGAAAACTATAATGAAACCGAATGTTAAAACTGATGAAGGATATGGTGGAAAAACGTGCAACTGTGATGAGTTAAAGGGACACTCGAGCGATTTAGTATTGCGCCACCATTAAGTTGGGGGACTCACAAGAGAAAAGGTTAAAAAAAGAACGGTACAAATAGATCGACTTTTAGTCTCTGGTATGGGTCAAGCTCTAAAAAGTCCTGGATCCTATATTTCCCACAATGCAACTCAATAATAGCATCTGTCTTGAGACCATCAAAGTTCACACCTTTCAAACACCACACCTCCAGTTTGTAATGCACCCAGAACTCTACGATAGTACCTCATATTCATACATTTTGAGTGTTGATGGAGCGGCTACAATGTTAGCATAGCGTAGCACCGATCGATCTAAACTCAATTCAGAAAACAAGCATTTTAAAAGATGTTTGCTTGTCGTTTTGAGGACAGTTCTGACAAAGCATGGAGTCAGACTTTCTGCAAATCGGCGTTATCATGTTGTTATTTCTGCATCCTAAAAACCATGTACGTATTGGGCAAAATTATAGGAATTAGGTTAATAATTAACCGTTTAACTGTTAACAGAAAAGAATTCTGACCGATTAATGCTATCAGTTAAAAACAAAACATTAAAGTCGCAACATTAGAGTCGCTTGTCACTAAAAATGAGAACAGTTGGTCCACCTCAAAGGTCAGCCCATCTCAAGTGTTGTCGCTAACTTCCGGGTTCACCACTCTTCACTTTAATCAGCAAGTGGCAAGCACACAGGAACTTCAGTTGTAGTATTTATTCACCGACAACTAAACTATGACACATTACCCTGCTACGTTACTTCATACATTACGCCATGCATGCAATCCACTGGCAAAAACATGGACAGTGTTTCAGGTGGACACACAGCTGAACAGCTGAACTGATTGCGGCCGTGAAGACTTAATGGGAAAAATTGCTGCAAATGTTTTCACGCGACAATGCACGCAACGTCGTGGCTGCTCTCCCACAGTGCAGCTGGATTTGGCCTGTTTATTGTGCATTGGCAGCTGGGCGGCACTTCAACCACAGCGACCACGCGTGCAAAGCACTGCTCTCATCAGTTAACAGGTCGGCTATCAATCATGGACAATATTCTAAATTAGCATCTCTAAAAAGGTATCAGAAATGACAAATTCACACTTAGTTTCTAAAAGTCCTATCTTGGGTTTGTTTTTGTCTTCTGGCTCCGTTTCCCTGGTGGATGATTTAACAGAAAAGGTTTTTTTTTTTTGCATCTAATAATGAGATATTGATCGGCCTTAAATATACGTGTTCCACGATGTGAGTATCGGCGCAGGGGTGCGGAGGCTGTGCAGGTTTCATAGATGCGTGTAATGTGTCTTTATGACTCTTTAAGGTCACACCTCTGCTGAACTGTTGATTGATTAGACTGGCGGTCTCGCCAGGCAAGACAGCAGAGAGGCGTGCTGTTCTGTGCTGAGCCACAAACTGTTCTGAGTGTTCACAATTTCACATCATAGGAAGCACTGGGGGGGGGGGGGGGGGGGTTTGTATATTTTGCTTTTATGAGAATAGCCCCGAAGCACTTATTGCTGTAAACTCTGTGTTACAGCAGCACTCCAGTGTGTTGTAGGAGGTTAACATTAATCCGGGAACATAGTTCATACGTCATGCAAGATTTTGCAAAAACAAACCTATTATTAGTATTGCGACAAATATTTTCTTTTACCTCCGACTTAACTTTGCCAGAATGTTGGCTTTTCAAATATTAACAACACAGTCTGCGATTATCCCTCAAATGTTTGACCTCTCTGACAAGCACTGTTATCAGTGTATACAAAGGCGCTCATTTCAGCATCAATACTTGCTGAGCAGTATTCTTTAACTGTAACAATAGCCTGCACAAATGTGTCCACCATTTGTGTCCACCATTTGCGCAAAAGCAAAAACTGTTACGAACAAAGAATCAAGGTACAGACAAAGGTGGATACATACTTATGTGGTACGGTGCGTTCACACTAAAATTGAAGGGAATTTTTGCCTTATGTACACCTTCTCAGTGTGACCACGGGACTGTTTGGGTTAATCTGGGAGTGAGTAGCGTGAGCCACACCTGAGCATGAGATTCATCAGCTGAAGCCCCTCCCCTCTGAGGAAGCGGTCCCGATTGGCTGGCAGCATGAGGCAGGAACTCAGAGAGTCGAAGAGGTTCTCCATCATCTCCTGCTCCTCGGCTGTGGACGGGTTGTGGCGCTTGAACACCTGAGACAGAGGGCGGGCGAAGAGAGAGAGAGAGAGAAAGAGAGCACCGAGGAAAGGGAGCGTTTAGAACGGAAACGCAGGCCGGCAAATTCTTTAAAACACAGCGGCAGCTTATGAAATGGTATATTAGAGCAGTTTGGGAATGTGGGCGATGTGAGCTCCTTTAATGATGAGAAGGAATAAGCCCGGACAGAAACATTAGCCAGGTTTGTGCTATAATTAAGAGACCAGGAGGAGACAGTGTGGGAAAATGCACACAGCCACTACCAAAATGCTGGCTAATGAGAACTTAAGCTATAATTTGTATTTTTGCTTAGAATATGTATGAGATTGGTTAATAGTGAGGCTTAACATAGGGTTAAAAATTGGCTTTGTGTTGGACTGGGCTTTATACTGATCATGTTAAATCTTTGGTCTAGAAATGCTCATGTTTGAGAAACGACTGCGATCTAAAGCAAACCGCGCATTAAAAATAGAGAGGGAAAGCTAAATCTTACAGATAGTTGCTGCAGCAACACATCAATGCCGTCCATCTCTCCCAATAACTCTCTGGTATCTGTGGAGGAGAGAAGAAATGCAGACGGAGGAGGACTAAGAGATAAAAATGGAGTAACAGGACAACAGGGAGATTAAATTCAGATGGTTGCAAAAAAAAAAAAAAAAAAGATATTTAAGGAGAGGAAGAGAGGACAGAAAACAGGTTGAAGTGGATACATGAAGGAAAAAAAAAACAGGAAAGGACATAGAGGGAGGGAATGACAGAAGCGCTACAAAGGCATTCAATGAGCATGAACAATGACAAACACATCAGCTACCAAGGACCCTCAGAGAGAAAATGAGGGCACTGAAAAATATATATCTACACAAGGTAATCCATCTAGGCACGAGTATTAAAATGTGTTTTTTAAAGTTACATAACACAATTCGTCTTCTTAGTGGCTTGAAAAGGCTGTGAATCCCAAATGTCTTCAATGTCAGGTTGTCAGAACCCAGAAATCCTGTAAGTTGACATCAGGGAGAGGAGTACACCCGCGTTTACAATATTTTGTGCTTTGCATTCATGACTTCCTCTAGGCAGTGAAGCATTCATAACTTAAAGTAGGATGTAATGTGAAAAATGTGGTGAATCTTCAGGGATAATTAATCAGTAAGGCTGAGATGCTGTTCTCAGTGGCAGCAGCACTGGTTCATATTCTTACATGTAAACCCTTCAGAGTGGAGTTTAAAGTTGAATTTGACAGCAGGAAGCGATAATTACGTTCAAATTAGCACATCAATGACGTTGTAATTTTCCTAATACGAGCCGAGTGATTCGCCTTATTCTTACTTCAAGACACTGACAGTAATATAATAGGGAACATTATTCATGCAAGTGAGTTCCCTTTGAGAAAAAAATAACTTTTTTTTGTGAAATTTTATTTTGTATTTGAATGGCAGGAGGATGAATAAAGGCAGAAGCGGAAGAGAATGAGCGTAAAATGAGACACGACTCCCACTGAATATCAATATGGCTTGAACCATTAGTGAGAACCCATCCAAAGGCCCGATAGTCCTGTGGCTACCTGAGGCTTTAGTGTGTGTGTGTGTGTGTGTGTGTGTGTGTGTGTGTGTGTGTGTGTGGGAGTGGAGAAGACAAATACACAAGGAGAGAGGAAGAAGAGGAGAGAGACAGGAGGACTGAGGAGGGAGTGGGAGAAAGAGGATTGGATGAGAGGAGACAAAGGGAAACATGAAACGGAATATGAAATCAAAGAGTGATTGAAGAAAATGACAAAAAGAAAAGGTCAGGAAAAAGAGAGGAAAGAAAAGGACGAAGGAAGTGACCGGAAGAGGAAACTGAATTGAGAGACAGTTCCAGGAGTGGTAGTAGAACGAGAGAGATGGAAAGGACACAAAAAGGAAAGAGGGAAGAGGGGAAGAACAGACAGACGAAAGGTTGAAAGAGAATAAGAACAATCCAAGACGGGTAGAAAGAAAAAGGAAAGAATAGAGAAAGCGAAGAACTAATGTAGGGGCAGTGCATTTTGTGTCGGTTTGAGAAAGCTTGAGAGGTGAATTGGAAGATAAACGAACATCGTTTGGAAGCCACAAAGCATTTAGCGAGGCACACTTACTGTCATTGTTTTGCAGCAAGATGGCCAGGATTTCACTGCAGTACAACTTGTTAGCATCAAACGGCATCTTTGCCTGAGAGGGAAAGAGACCAAATTCCAATTACCACTCATCTTAAGAAACTCTGTTCTCCAGAGTTTAAGGAAATACTCTTGTATTCTACAACTAAATATGCATCTTTCTTAATTTTTTTTACCATAAGCAGAGATCCTGCCACATACATTGTATTTGGTGGTAGTGTAAAGCAATAACAACTTATACTTTTAAATCTTTCAACTTCTGGATCACATATCTTTTGCAAGTTATCTGCAAACTAATTAACATTAGCTAAAAAAAATGAACCTTTCCAAACATTTCATTATTCATAACGAAGTTGAAAATGTGTTTGCTTTTGGAAATGACTGAGTAAATGTAGCTATAGTGCAATACTCTCCACTATAAAGACAGGTAGTGAGCCTTTAAATATGATTCAAAGTAGAATTTAATGTAAACCAAGTCATGGTGAGCTGGGCATGGGTGGAATTACCTCACCACAGTTTTTCTTTAATTTACAGCGTTTTAGAAGACTGAATACGACATGCAATTTGTTGTAGAATAGAGGGTTTTGCAGTAAAGGTAAAGAAAACAACAAGGGCGATTAATTGACTTATCGTTGCAGCTCTACAGATATTGTCTGCCACATCCTCACCTTGATTCTCTTGAGCAGCCACTGCATGAGTCCCTGCTGAGCCGCCTCGGTGCACAGGCCCGGTCTGAACTCGGACATATTTTCCGTGATCGCTGAGGAAGACGTGACATCGGAAAATCAAAATTCAACGCTTCATGTTCGGTGTCTGCCCTGAGCGAGTCAATATGAACTTACCAGCTACGTGGACAGCGCTGTCACTGGGACTGAGCATTTCCTGACAGAGATCGAATAAGTCTGGATGCACCAATTTGAAAGGGTGGATCCATATCGGTATCGCCATGACATGACTGATCCCCACTAATGAAATGTTATTTGTTGTGGAATTTTCAGCATGAGAGATGCATGATTAACCCAGAGAGGAAAGTCAAAATACCCAAAAGCAGACTAATCAGATGAAAAATACATTCTTCGACTCGTGTTTTGTCTATGTTGGTATAGTCTTTAATCAACATCTAAAGTCAGTCTCGAGTTAACATATACACAGATGCTATGCAAGCACACTTTGAAGGGGAAGAACTGTGAAATACAACAGTCATCTTTTTATAGAGGTTCCGTCTGGGTCCGGTCCCAGCTACTTCTAATATTATCTATATCAGAAAGCTGTCTCTGCCACATGATATCTTTATCAGAGCAGACTGCAGCAGAAGGGGACAGAGAGAGAGAGAGAGAGAGAGAGAGAGAGAGACTGCGGTGATGAAGAAGAGGGAAGGAGAAGAAGAAAAACTAAGGGGCTGGAGGGGAGGCAAATAAAGGGAGAGGAAAAGCAGAAGGGAGGCAAACGGGTGGGAAGACAAGTCAAAGACGGGGACGGAAAGCTGAGGGAATGAGGGAAAATGACAACGGCACAACAAACATGGTAGAAAGTTGGAAGAGAATAAAAAGGAAAAAAGTACAAAAGAGCAACATTTGGAGAGAGGGGCGGCAGTTGATAGAGAGATGATGAGAGAAAGAAACAGAGGAGAGGATGGAGAGAGAGAGAGACGCCGAGGGAGAGAGAGGAAGGGCCTTTATCAGTGATTCAAACGGAGCAGACAGACAGCGTCCTGGTGGACAGCAGGCTCACAGCAGAGAGCAGCCAAGGCAGACAAAAGGCTTATTCAAGCTTGGAGAGCTCCCTTGATAACACACACACACACACACACACACACACACACACACACACACACACAAACTTGAATAGAAGCTGCACAAGCACTGCTCTTTCGATATAAGCCACACTCGCACACAGAGCCGAATACGCACACCTAAACAGCCCTCCTGACACTCGGCCTCAATCTGGCAACGAAGAAGAAAAAATAAATAAATAATCATCTCGGTAGACTCATTCAACACATAAAAGAGCTGAGAGGCACAAAAGTGGAATTCATGCAGAGGCCGTGACTTCTCAAACTATCTGCTGGCCCCGAGCCCTCTGCTAGCCCCTCCTGTCTACATTTAGTGCTGCCACAAACACCGATTGTGATTCTCCACAAACTAACAGTTTGCAGTTCACGCCACCAGCACAATGAAATGGAGACCCAGACAGCTGGGGGAGCAACTGTTAAAGCTTAAAGAATACAATAAAGTTAGTTTGTCTAATGTCAAACACAAGTGCAGGAGGACTCCCTGTCGCTGTACTGCCCAAAGCTCTACACACCTTAAAAAGGCATCCCTCCCTCTGGGGGGGGGGGGGGGGGGGGCTTGTCATGTTTCAGCACTTAACACAACAAGGGTGATTAATTACTCCTACTCGGAATATTTAAATGCTAATGAGCAGCTATCTTTATGCCAAGTATTTCTTTATTATCAGGTGTCGTACAGAACCAAAGAGAAGAGTCTTTGCAGCACCTGCAGTGAGCAGTGAATTTTGCCCCAGATTTTGTTCCAAATATTTGTTCCACGTGCGCCGAATATAAATGGAGGCACAAAGCCGTGCACGGAGAGCGTCTTCCGGTTTAGTTCATTTGTGGTCATGCTGCTCGTAGGAACACGGCCCGGCTCCTTTTGCTGCTGAAATGCGTGTATGTGTAGATTATATAGATTCCAAATTCAGAGCACATCCATGATTGAGGAATTGCCACCACACAGCTCTCAACATGGCGAATGCTGAGCCGGCAGATAGCAGCTAACGGTGCGTACGACGGCAACAGTGCTGACGGAGCTAAAAGTCTTTACCTTGGGTGGGAAGCGGAGGGTGAGCGTTAGCTGTAACCCGCCCTATGGGTGCGTTATGTGCGCCGTGCGGAGATGTGGAGATGAGCTAGCCAGTGGGACTAACATGCACTAGTTAGGTTTAAGAAAACATACCTACTCAGTTAGGGTTAGAAAAAGATCGTCGTTGGGGTTAAAATAGCCACGGAAGTGCTGTAGCTACATTACATAAGTTACGAGACAAATGAATCAACATTGACTTCTGGTTTCACATGAGGAATGAACAGCGGCCTCCTGGGTGAACGATCGCTGGTTGTTTGAAGACACTGTTAGGTAATGTGGCGAAACAAATCTAGCTAATATTTATGAATAGCTTAAAAATGTACCGCGTACAGACCATAATATCTGTACTGCATCTCAGTCCAGCCAACTGGTTTCCAGAATATGGAAGTACTTTGCTTCCAAAGACACAACATGACATTATGTTGCTTTTGTCCAATATAAATCCAGTACAGACGTTTTTTGGAGGATAAAACCTACATAGGGTATTTGTTTATGTTGATGGTAGTTTGCTTCAGGCCTTGGTGTAACATTTCCTTACCCAGTGTGTTATAGATGCCATCAGCCTCCTCCTTCACCTGCTCATCCAGCCGCTCCATATTCTGCACCAGTAAGGCCACCACCTGACCCTCCAACTGCACACACAGAAAAGATAAAGTTGAAGTCTGGCTTCGGAAACATTTCTGCACTTACAAAGCTCTTCCTGTATTAAAACGAAATGTACCAGACATCCCTCAACCCAAGCACCGTTATTTTCTCTCCTCGTGACTACTGTGTCGTATGAAATGTGACTGTTGGGGCACAGAAGACTTTTTAAATATTTTCCCTCTGTGTCGGAAGTCCATCAAGTGAGTTCTTGTCTTTATATTTTGCAACAGGATGTGATGTTTAAGAACGAAGCATCAGCAGGGATGGAAAGCAAATGTTCTCTCCTCCGAAATCCTGGCAGAAGAAGATCGGTTCCTGTCTGAGCTCCTCTGAACATGTCCAAGTGTTATGGAGACTCTAAACTAAAGAGAGCTCGCGGGGTGCCGACTGGCTGGATAAAAGTACTATTACAGATGAAAGAAGAGGACAGTCGACACCGATTTATGAGCCACGGGAGACCCGTCGTGGATCACTTTGATTCATCTTATCAAGGATAGCACCTGGCCTTCTGGCAGCAAGGACAGAGGAGCTGGAGCTTACAGCAAAGGGGAGAGAGGAATGGGTCTAACCAAGCCTTTTGCAAAAAAGAATTGTCTTTGTTTTTTTGCATTTATTACTGGAGCACTAATGGCATATAACAGAATACATTCATTAACATCGGAAAAGGAAGCGTGGGCATTGGATTAAGTGCAGCGGACTTTGAGACGGTCACTGCCCACGGCCGACCAACCAGCCAGACCGGCCGGACCAAACTGGTCCAGGGAGGAGAGGGAGAAGAGCCAAGATGGGAGCTAAGCTAACCCAGACTCCACTACCCAGCATGCTCCTGGCTGTCTGATGTCCGGTCGCAGAACAATAAGATAGATGAAATAAGACATCAGGCGAAACCAGCAGCGGGAGGTCGGTGACTGTTAGCCTACATCTTTACAGGGACCTTACTCAATCTCTGCATCGCGGATCAAGCCGCACTTGAGGGGCGGACAGCAGGACAGAGAACAGGACTCAGGTGGAAGAGAGGAGGTGGACTCTGTGTTGACATCATGATGCTTGGTGCTCAAACACAGTCAAAGTTGGTGGACAATGTTTTCTTGATGTCTCATTATTAATGTTAAGATGTCGGGCCATATTATGTGCCAGGAGAATCGGTTTTGTTGTAATTTGTTTTCTATGCAATATATATTGGGATATGAACAAATACAGGATCATTAACCCTCAACTTTGCAGGCCGCATTTTAAAGTTAACTATTTCTAAGCTCTAAAGAAAGGCTCCGCAGTGCCTTAACAGAAGCCAACCACTGGTTATTAGTTGTGATTATTAGATAAATAACATGTTCCGTAACACACTTATCATAATATTTATATTTCATATATATCACTGTGTCCCTCACTGTAATGTCTCACACTTAAATGCTGAACTAAAGACTAATATATGTAGTTGGAGAACTCGAAGACCATCAGACAAAACAGGTCATTCATTGTAGGGAGAAACAACTACCCTGATGAAGGCCACTGGGATGTTGCCTGGCCAAAGGATTCTTTGATTAAGTGTCATGGTGACGGCCGTCAAGGTTCACGGTTCTTTCCTCCGTTATAGGAATATCAGCTCATTATTGTAGTTTGACCTTTGTCTGTGTCCCTCTAAATGTCAGCTCACAGAGTGGGGTATCAAAGATCCTCCCTGGTTCGTTGACAGCACGACAGGCTCGGCGACAACAAAAGGAGAGGGAGAGAGGTCTAAATGTACAGTAGAGAAGGACAGACAGCGATAGAAGATGCTAAACACAGAGCTGATGCCAACAGACACAGCTGGAGGGTGACAGGGAAAAGCTTTAGATAACTGAAACATGTGAGAGGAGTAGCTATAATTATATGGTTGACATTACACTTTGCAATTGCTTTTTTCTCCCTTGTGCCCCAGTTAAATTACAGTATGCTTCGGAAGTTAAACAATTTGTTGTATGAATTTGTTTTTAAACATAATTCTACATCTAATAATAGTGTAGAAATAGTGCATGTGAATGACATCAGCTGACAGAAAGTAAACACGGACCCAAGCCGTTGACTTGCAATTCAAGTCCATTGGACCGGTCTATGCTGTTAATTAACCCCCTGTGCCTTGTTTGGATGCCAGAGTCTAGAAAGTTACGCATCCAGTCCACAAAGTGCAGCTTCATCAACACCATTAAAGACGGATGTAAATACTCAACTCACCAGAGCGTCCACGAGTACCTCAGCACCTTCCTCGCTCTCCTGCAGTGTGTCGATATCCGTCAGCTCCTGCAGCAAGTCCACCACTGCTATGGCAACATGTGGCTGAGGCTAAGGACTACAGAGCTGTGTTTGAAGAGGACTCCACCGATTTAGCAGAGCAGCACTCTTCTTCCTAGTCAAGCCTTAATTACCCACAATGCAACCACTGACAGATCAGTTGGATAATGAACCCATCAGAGCTGCTAAATATAATTCAGCCATCATTAATTCTTGTAATTTACACCTGGCCAAAATGTCTTTCGAGAGTTTTGTGTTTTATTTGGGATCGGTCTCATGTGTGCGTGCGTCCATGAGTGAGTGTGTGTGCACCTCTGTGTCTGTCCACGGTTAATCTCGCATTCTGATGCAGCAAACTGCATCATATTTTGGGGGGCCGGTTATGGCCGCATGCTCAAGCACCTCTCGTGGTTGCGGCGACTCACACTTTCTCGAAACACCTTTTATTGCCCGTTTTACATTGCAGTTGACTTCCTGTCGACTCCTCAACCTCTACTCTTAACAGGCCCACAGCCGGTAGGGGTCACTAGTGATTATACAGCTGAGAGCGTCTTTGACCCCCCTCCATCTGCACCCACAATAACTGTTTGCGTTGTGTGTTTGCCTAACAGCTAACGGAGTGGACAGCGTGTTTGTCTCACAGCTAATAGAACTCCCAGTAAACACACACTGCAGTAACTCACCGCAACTCAGCTGCTGCTGCTAAGTGGGAAAAGACAGCTTGATGAGTATAATTTAGTATTTGCCAAGATTGTGTGAAGTGTATTATACGACGTCTTCAAGTTGATTGCTTGCATACATCGCCACTTTTTTGGAGCGTGAATGAAGTGTGTTTTACGAGGCCTTACAGCCCATTGTTGTCTAGCCCTGGGGTTCGCCCATTGTGGGTTGTATTCATTCAATCACACAATACGGCAGTGGTCGTTGCAGACACACCTGGCGGAGATCTGCACTCTACTTTATTTAATTCTACCCAATTTTCTTTTGAATGTTTCCTCTGTTCCCTCCATTATTGGCTAGAGTAAATTGTGTATAATTTTGTAAAATTTACAAATACATTTCATAATTATAGGATGAGGCTGGCAATATTCCCTATTATTTTGCACTGTAAACAAATACCACGAAAATACATACACCAACAATGTGTTAGTCCATCTCTCACACTTTCTGACTCCGCTAACCTGTATGTGGCCCAAACCTTATCACTCCTACTGAAGATGAAAATCTTCGTAAAGAGGTAAAACAATATGCATATATATGTATAGTTTCATTCAGAAGTGAAAGGATATCAGTGTTTTCATGACTGAGGAGGCCCAGCAGGGAGTGGACGGCGTTAAGCTCCACCAGCAGGTGGTAGAGGTCTGGCATTGTTGCGATCACGTGCATTTCCTGGATAATGTCGTTCAGATCGAGCTCCGTCTCCATGAACCTGGTTTAAGAAGCAAGACATTTTGGTAATCATGTCAGCATTCTATGTTACCATTAATCTTAAAGTGCAGTCGAGGAATTTGGTTATTATAAGTGCTTGACTGCTGTTTTTGGTTAATACATTTCATTTTGGGGATAGTGAACAGTCAGTAATGAGCTTACTTCTCTGGGTTGTCCGGAAACTTAATCCTCAGTTCCTGATTTTTGTACGACCTTTTCTCAAAGGTCAGGATCATTTTCTTCACTGAACTCTCATCCACGGGCTCTGTCTGTGTCATTAGAACATAGAGGGAAGGAGAACAGAGGAAAAGATTTAACAGGGACGGCAGAGAGGAAGAAAAGAAAAAAGCCTTTAACTGAGGAAACTGCTGCAATAACAGAGACATTAAAGCTGCAAGCAGCAATGAACGGGCCCTGGCACCTCCTCTCACGTTGGGGGTATTGGCAGGACGCCTGTTGACGTGACCAGGCACAACTACACAGGAACTCTGCTAAATGCAATGACACAAAAAAATGGTTTACAAGTTGTGAAAGGGGCGGGGCTGAAGTATAGGGGTGGGGCAAATTTCACAGTTGTTAGACAAAAAATCAAGATTATTATAACTTTTCATCGTAACAGTGATCAGATTGTCCTGACAAAATCTGAAGTCGATCTGATCATATGTAAAATTCAAGATGGCCCACTTTGTGTTGGGTTTACGATAAACATCCAGGAGACCTGTTGTCTCCATATGTTGCATACACCAACAACACATCATAGCTCTAGGTGATCAGGACCCATATTAGATGTACATTTTCACTACTTCTAATGTCGGCTAAATGTCATGAGTCTTCCAGCACCACTAGCCTTTCAACAATGCAATACATTTCTAGAAATAATAATTTCAATACCACCTGGTCGGTGCTAAGACATTAGTTATGGTCACCCTAATTATGAGGGTGGAGCAGAGTAGCCAGAACCTTTCTACAATCAGGGGAGCGTGAAAGCATTTCACTGGAAGAAGAATGCGTTTGACCGCCTGATGGCTTAAAAGCCTGCAAAGTGTTGGAGAGATAATAACTGGTTAGGAAATTACAATTGTCTGACATTATGGAACAGTGCAGCACTTTCCTCTCAGTGGCTCTTGACACCATGAAAAGGCTGCCGTGTCAGATAATTTGAACATGATAATAGATGTTCAGTTTTCTAAAATAACGTGTCAACACCAGTACTGACAACGGGTTCTTTTTGACCTGAAATAACCACAAAGAAAATTTCCTGGTCCTGATCCACAGATTGTTCACTGTTCTAGTGCTGTAGTACTCGCAACTCTACTCAACTTGCAACAAGTGAACACTGATGAGTGACTTGGACTCGGGGCCTAAACAATCCATCCTTAATTTGAACCTGTGGATAATCTGAGGGAAATTAATGTAAATAATGTGCGCATGTTCATTTTTTGGGAGCCGACAGTGAAGGAGACTAGTAATTCCTGGAACACATTGTGCTGCACTTCAACACTGAAATACACCGTTTAAAACTATGAACAACAAAAAAACAAAAAACATGGCACTTTGCAGAGAAACAAATGGAACAATTCTGTAATAATCACATAAATAATTGTACCCACCTCAGGTTCGTCTTCATCCTGGTCCATCAGTTTCTCCAGGATCCTCTTCTTGTCCCCAGTTAGCTCCTCGGTGTCCCTCATTTCGCCCCCTCCTTCCATTCCTGCTGCTTCCCGGTATCTGGCCAGCTCCCTGGCACTCAGCCCTTTCTGCTGCTTCCCCCCTCTGGAGTCCTCATCTCCTCCCGCTGCTCCTCCATCCTCCCCCCTGGGACGCTTTGCTCCTCTATCAGGCTGCCAGGTGAGAGGAGATGGAGACATGTAACGTTAATGATCGTACACAAGAATTTGGTCCGTTTGGTGACGTATGAATACAAAGAGGGATGTTGTTAAGGCCTTGAGACAACCAAGGTGTAGCTCAAGTAAAATGTAGAGGAACATGTAATGCATAAGAATTGATTGGAGAAAAACAATTAAATGCGTCGTTTTATCCCACAGGGAAGTCTCTCCATGAACAAGAGAGAACATGACCACAGAAGCTCTTTAAGGAAACACTGCATCGGGACCTTTCATGAATCATATTCATCTACTTCTTTGTTTCACATAAGTAAAGTACACCTTCCACACAGCAGCAGTTGACGTGTTAAGTTTATCTGCGTCTGTATGTAAACTAGTTTGGCCAACTATAACAAGCTGAAGTGTCAGAGTCGTAGCTACATTCATTCACTACATCCACACAGCAACCTGTCCACGCTAACTGCTAACGTTATTTATCGATAACTAAAACCTTGGTCTGCTATCATGCAGCGCTTCACAAAGCCAACATACTGTACTTTAAATCACTGGCAGTTATCAAACTGACTTAAACAGACACAACAAAGCAGATAACGAGACTGCACTGAAGCCCGCTAGCGGCCACCAGTAACTGCTAGCAATGCTATTGTCAGCAGCCCAAGAATGATAGAAGTTAAGGCTAGATTATAGTTCCTCATTGGTGAGCGGAATAAAATGTCTACCTGATAGTTCAGAAGCTCTCCGACATCCATGTCACCTGGTTAAAAACCTAAACGTAAGAATGTTTTGCTCAAGCTCATGAAGGAAACAAGAACGTAAGTTGCACTTCAGCAGCTAGCTATCCGGCTAACAACAAGCTATCCATAAACACACGCTTGCCGTAAAACGCCTATTTTCACTGTCGCAGCTAGTGACTGTCGTAAAAATTGCCTGATACCCATGATATGGTACATCCGTGATTTCATCTCATGATGAACCATTCACTTTTTTTTCTGTAAAACTGGGAAAAACATTAAGTCAGTTAAGTTATATATTCTTTTCAATAATAGAATAATAAAATGTCACATTATCTATTTTGTTTAAAGCTTATATGCACAGAAGTGCTTCAAGCAAGATTTCAAATCGGATTTACTTATCCTGAAATATCTGTGAACAAATAACAGCGTAGTTTATTCATGCTTTATGTGGAGACAGACTGGATTGAGATTTTCCAGTCCAGTTTTGCCTCAGAGGATAACAGCTGTCATAACTCGGGTCTTGGTCTGTGACAGGAGGAGACACACGAGCATGGACAACAACAAAGCAATTTATTTACTTCGGTGTAGTTCCTTGTTGCACAAGCCACGAGTCAGTGGGTCAAATCCCCATAACAGGTGGAACAGATGTGCCAGATGTGTGTCACGTCTCTAATGATCCCTGACAAAAACAAGAGCAGGATACTAGCAGACAGGGCAGAGGGTCCGCATACTGTTGAAGGGATTCATGCTATTTGTGACATGTGTGTTTATATATTTACAAGTGTTTTGACTGGAGGGGTGTGAATAATAATTAGTACAAGGCAAATTGATCAACATAAAACATACAATACAGCTGTGCGATAAATATCATTTTTGTGAAGTTTAAACTGTTCAGATTGACAGTTTCAGAGACAACTGCAATACACAGTAGTACAGCTGTTAAATGTTTTTGTGATCTTTGTAACACGTTACATCTCCACATATACCGTTTCAGAAATGATTCTGTCAATTATAATGTCACAAACATGTTCTTAAAGTAATATAACCTGACAAAAATGCAAAAGTGTTTTTCCTGCAACAAAATCCTTTCAGCGTATTCGCTAATCCTGAAATACATCCCCTTAATGATACATGGTAAAATAAGACATGGCTGTTTCCTCATCAGACCTCACATAATATAATCCTGCTCTTGAGGGCTCAATGTTGCTGTATTATTTGCAGGAGAGCTTCATATGCCAAGCTGTCTTATTGTTCCAGACAGGCAGAAAATCACCTTGTCAATGAGCATCATTGGCAAACGTATGAGCGGTGCATGGTGTGGAAGGCTCCATTGCCACTCTAGTCTCTGGCCAGTGATCTGTGACGGTGGAGCAACAGAAACATTTAAAAGGGAAGCCACTGCCAAGCAGCCAAGCTTGACGTCTCGGGAAACACGAGGGAAAGAAGCACTTGTTCAAAGGAAACTGAGAGACACGGAGTGAAAGAGAGTGAAAGAGAGCGAGGGGGGTGAAAAATACAAATGCGTATGAAAATACCGAGGCTAGAGACAGGAAGGCAGCTTCAGCCTTTATTGGCCTAACTGGAAATAACTTATTTCCATGAAGTTTACAACATAATTTTGATTAAAAATGGTAAATTATATCAAATCAGATCAATATTTCCCAAATTATATGTTGTGATGCTAAAAATGAGTCTTGATGGTGAGCTCACAGGTATTAAAGGTTTTGTGTAACGCAAGGCTTATGATTTAATGTTAAGTGTTGCTGACAGTGCAGCTCCAGTATTTAAACAATGATGATGAAACACGTGTTCATCAGACGTGGAGAAGCCTGCCGAGCAAAAGACGACGACTGCAGCAAGACATCAAGTAAAAACCATGGGATTAAACTCTTTGTCAACAAAGAAAGGAGGATGGAGTTTAAGTTTAAGTTTAAGTGAACAGCATTTGGTAAGTCAACTGTGTTTGTTTTTTTACATCTAATATCTGAATGGCCCTTGAGTGTGTAGCAGAATGTGTGTTCCGCTGCAGGTCTGCTGGATTGATTTGTTGCTTTGTTGTCATATCAACAAAGCAACATTCAATGGTTCTTGTGAGTTTGTTGTTGTCATTGTGTTAATTATATAGATTTGGACTATATGCATTGTCCGTTAATTACGAAGCATACCGTCATGCGTGGAGTTATTGTTTGTTAAGCTAGTTTAGCGTAGCCTGCCAGAAATGCGGTGCCTCAGCTGTCTTTTGTTTTGTTGTTTTTTGTTCCGGGTTCAGAGGTCACAAAGCCCGTTGTCTCCTACGTGAGCGCAGTCCACCGAAAACATTATATTTCCCACAATTTAAGCTTCTGCATTTTCCAAATGCACTAGTATTATTGAAACGTACTGTTCGGTTCGTAAGCCTCGTACCGAACGGTTTAATACGAATACATGTATTGTTACACCCCTAGAAACAAATAACCGTAGCTTGCGCGTCATAATGAAATTATTAGGTGACGTTTCAGCTGCAGGACAGCACTGAAGGCCCAGGTATAAAATGCACAAGTCAACCAGCAACCTCGGAATCAACTCTGAATTTCCTCCACTGCTGCAGCTGCCTTGAAACCTCCATTATTACAAATCCTTTCTGCTCTACACAATGATTAACACATTCCACAATCCCTGAAGGAGCCAAAAGCTTTTCATACACAACCGTCTGCTAAATGACATCGCCTCATCATTTCCCTGCAGAATTATTCCGGGGCGACGCTGTATGATCGTTTCCACAGAATCCTACCCCTTCTCCTTTGAAACAGAACAATGCAATTTCACACAAGCTGTGAGGGCTGATTGCATTAAATCGCATGAGGTCAGTGTGATTGTATCATGCTGTGGAGGCCAACATAAGTGTGCTCAAAATTCAGAGTGGCAATGCTATCATTGAAAGAGAAGGAGAGATAGATGATGAGGAACGATTGGCTTTATCATTTCCCCTCGCTAAGTAAAGCGGTGCAATCAAATGATTTTCTCTCCCGTCGGATATGATTTGAGTTATGAATCACATCAGCAGCCGCCAACACACAGTTCAAGATAAATTTCTTATCTTGATTTCCACAACAGTGAAGATTCAACAAGTTGTTCGGGTCACGATGGCAGGCCTTCTGTGGACGAAGAAAGCCTTTCTACCAACTATGTACCATCCTCCTCGCTAGGCAACCATTAGATTAGGAAAAAATCGAAAGTAACAAAAAAACAAACAGGATTTATTCCGACAGACTAGTCAAAACCATCTAAAATCAAAAATGGCGCCAATGACTCCTTTAGTGTTTGAGAGTGGAGGGAGTCCTGCATGACTTTAATGGAGAAAACCTTTCTCATCATTTTTGCAGCTCAAGATTTCTTACAGTCCAGTGAAATTGTATTTTCAACATTTGCAACATGTATTGTATATATAGTGTACACATACGACATCCTCTGTCCCGGGACCCTCACATCGGGAAAGGAAAAACTCCTCCCAAAAAACCCTTTTACGGCGAGAAAGACAAAAAAAAGAAAGAACAGAAGTGCAATAGATGTCATGTGTACAGCATGAACAAAATAACAGAGTTAAAACACATTCAATGCATATGACAAATTATTCATATAATGAGAGTATTAAGCAGAATAATGATGGGAGAGAGAAGAGGAGAGAGGAGCTCAGTGTATCCTAGGAGGTCCCATGGCAGTCTTGGCCTATAGCTGCATATCTGGGGCTGGTCCAAGGCAAACCTGAACCAGCCCTAACTATAAGCGTCATCAAAAGAGAAAGTCTCAAGCCTACTCTTAAATGTGGTGAGTGTGTCTGCCCCCCGGACTGAAACTGGAAGCTGGTTCCATGGAAGAGGAGCTTGATAACTGAAGGCTCTGGCTCCCATCCTACTTTTTGAGACTCTAGGAACCACAAGTAACCCTGAATTTAGGGAGCGCAGCTCTCTAGTGGGGCAGTATGGTTCTATAAGCTTGTTAAGGTATGATGGTGCCTGAATATTAGGGCTTTGTGGGTGAACTCTGGGTTGTCATGGATTAGGTCCACTAATAAACTTGGTCAGATTTGTAGAAATGAGATCCGCTCCATCCAAAGTGAGATGAATGCCAACTCTCCTAATCAGACCAGGTTTTACCCCAGAAAGTCTGCCAATTATCTACGAAGCCCAGACAGAATGATGACATGCGGCTAAACATGTCGTCACTGATCAGGCTTGGATTTGCTGCTAAGCTAAAGTATGGTAGCTAACGTTAGCAGAACTCAACAACGTGTCAACAACTGTTGGATTAAGTGAAAAGTCGCTAACAGAGGGAGAGAGGTATGACTTTTTAAATGTTTAGATGTACAGCAGGTAATAAACCGCTTGTACTGAAGAATATCACACAATTTATTTTGTTGAGCTGAAGCTGCGAAAGTACGCTATCAGATATGCTGGAGACAGGAAGTAAGACAAGGTGACATATAAACACTGAGCCAACATGACAGCCTCATTCTGAACTTTCATCTGCATGAGAATCAACATGAGCTCAAGTCCAATACTACAGTATTTGTTCTCTCATGTGTGTGAGGAGGACTCGATAAAACTTCTTCACACCCAAACTTGACCAAATTAATTCACGATTTTTAAATTAGTTTCAGGTCTAAATGCACAAACAGAATGTTGGTTGCAAAAAGCAACAGGTGATATAAAAGATGTTTTAGTGAGGACAGTTTAAAGGACAGAGACTGACTGACTAATGTTCTTCTGCTCTAAACATGAACTCTGTACTTTGTGGTGTTTCAGGAGGAAAACTGCCTCAGTTATACTCTCATATTAGTTTCACATTTTCTCCATCAGCTTTGTATGAAACCCTGTAAATAAGACAAGAAGAAAATACTTTGTTCATTCTTGAATCAAGAAATACTTTATTCATCATGTAAACCTTCAGTTTGTTCACATCCCATCAGTAAAGTCTGTTCAATGACTCTTGTTCAGTGATTTCATGAACACATTCACTTCATCCTCATAATCGATTTGTTTGACCAGAATCTCAATTACGTCAAAGAGAATAATGAATGATTTCCTAATTGATTATGATGATAATAATTAGTTATATAATACATCATAGAACCTCTTTTGTATAACGATTAAGAAAACAAC